TGAATAACGAGTGAGGTGCCCGGCAGCTATAATGGCAGGTGATAGTGGGTTGTCGGCGAGAGACCATTGGTGGGTTGGCGGGTGGTGGTGATAGGTGGAGATGACCGATAGATTTGCATAAGGAGCAAATAAATAATTAGTAGCATAAGTGAGCTGATAGTTCGTGGCGAGCTGGTTGGCAAGTGAATAACGAGTGAGGTGCCCGGCAGCTATAATGGTAGGTGATAGTGGGTTGTCGGCGAGAGATCATTGGTGGGTTGGCGGCTGGTGGTGATAGGTGGAGATGACTGATAGATCTGCATAAAGTCATGTATTTGAGATTCACCCAAATTCAATAATTCATAAATAAATTGGAAAAAAAAAAACATAAATAAAATAAAATTTAAGAAAATCCAAGCCTCTAAAATAAGAAAAAAATATTATATCAAAAGTTTTGTTATAATTTTGCATCAAAACTTCAAAGTCTGTCACAACAATATTAAATTAATTTTTTTTATTAACATGAGTTTTTTCCCAAAATAAGAGGAGGATCCGAGCGCCCAAAATGGTTTAAACCTAACAAATGGTCGGCGCGCAAATGATCTCCAATAGCGGCGACGGCGATGTCCCTAATCCGCTCAGCGGCCGCGCTCCGGCGAGGCCCGGCGACGAGCTCCAGCTTTCTTCTCCCAAAGAATAAAAGTTTATCTTGCTCGAGCCACCACGACAATGCCTGTAGGTTCTGCTGTTCTCCCGTTTCCATGGATTTAATGGGATCCTTATCTTCTCATCCTTGTGTTTAGATGAAGTGGCGAAATGGGAGAAGATTAGCTAAGCGGGGATTGCCACTTGCACCCTTCTCTCGATCTATCATCCATCTAAGGAACATCTACGCCACGATGAGCCCGCGGTAAATGGATGCGCATTGATTCTTTTTGTTTATTTTGAAATTTAGGGCATGTTTTGTTTCGAGAATGTAGAGGGAATTTAAATTCATTTGACGCTATTTTATATTTGGTTGGTTGTTTGATTTCAATGAAATTATTAGTTAATTGGATTTAACTGTAAAAATGTAAGAAAATATCTCTTTCATTGACAATTCTCTGTTCAAATCTAATGAAAATAGGAATATTATAAAATTATTAAGCTTATGACTAGCTGGCCACTTCCATTACAAATAAAAATTCATTTTCTTGTCGACCATATAAGTAGGGTTGTTGAGTCGAAGTCGAGGAGGAAGGGATGAGGTGAGATCTTCGGCGTTGTACTCGAGTAGCAAAGGAAGAGGAGCTCGTGCGGTCCAGCCGAGATCGAAAGGAGGAAGTAGGGTTGAGCTCTAGTGAGTTAGGGCAGACCGAGAGTTAATAAGATATAACTGAGAATTTTCAATAAATATATTGTTATATGGTATGTGTTATAATGTGTGGGTATATTTAATGATATTATTAGTAAAATTTTTAATAATTTTATTAGTAAATTTTATTGAAATTGACACTAATGTTAAGTGATTGCAGATTCTAAGGAGAAATTGGAGGACCTGCCAGTTAGGGGGAGGACTGATCCGAACAACTTGTAATATAAATATTAATATTAAAATTAAGCAAATTATCCAAATGTTATATATATATATATATAATGTTAAAATAAAGTTTATTTGAATTAGGGATTTAAAAAGTTTGGTTCAAAAGACTAAGTATTTTGGATCGTGAATTTCGTATGGAGTAGGAAAGAGATAAGTGGAGGTAATTTATATTTTTATTTATACTTTTGTTTGAATAACATCAGGAAGATAAAATCTTACGAGTAAAACTGATAAAAATATTTGATTCAAGGATATATATTTAAAGTGAAGTGTTCTTAATTAAAGTATGCACTTTCAATTAATATAATTGGTTGTCCAAAGGAGTAAAATGAAGTAGTCTTACATTTTGAGAGTCTTCTAAGTCGAAATGTGTAATTATTTTCTTATATATATTAAATTTAAAGTTTATGAAATAAAGAATTTAGTTAATGTATTAGACAATTATTTTATAATTGTATGCATATTGTAGCTTTAGAATGAAAGGAAATGAACAAGAAAATGGAAAATGAATATTTAATGTCTTTAAAATGAGGTAATTTAAAGAAAATAAAATGAAAGGTAATATTTAAGTCATACAAGATTACCTCAGATAGTACTGACAGAGGATGCAATGTACTCGTGCTCGATAAAGAAAATGATAAAAATGTTTATTCAGGTATAATTTGAGGGTATCTTCGGGTGCAGTTTTTAGGGTGTCGTTGGATATAATTTTTAGGATGTTTTCAACATATTTTTTATTATATATTTGGGCATGAAGGTAATTATGTTATGATTTTAGAAAAGTTAAAAATGGTAAATATTTAAATTAGAATGTGAATGATAAATTTAAAGTTTTAATGAAATTAACTGTATTTTATTTGTCATTCATGCATAGTATAAAAATTTAATGTATATTAGATTATAATTACTCATTAAGTTATACTTATAGTTGTAATTAATATTTTCTTTTAGGAGAATGAAACTTTTAGGTTGATATGTCAACTCTGAAAGATTGTTTATCATAGGAGAATCATTGATGCTAGATACTATTTTTTATGATGATAATGTCTCTTATTGTTTCTTTCAGATGATGATTTATTGTTCGGTATTGCATTAAGATGTATGTGGATGTTATTGTTGGATGATTTAAATTGTTATTGCACTTTGTGGATTAGTGGTTTTTTTATATGTAGTGAAAGTTTTTGAAATTGTAGATAGTTAGATGTTAATAACGTTCGACCGCTGTAACCGTCTTTGTTAATTATAAGCACAGGGTTGAGTCGTGACAAAATGTGTTTTTTTTTTCTTTAGCCTGGTGTTAGATTGTTCATCTTAGGTCTAGTGAACTCGGGTCGTTCAACATCCCAAGGAAAATTGTTGAGGAGTTCGACCAGTCGAGGAGGCCAAGTTAGCAAAAAAACTAACTCGTTGAAGTGGTTCGCATTGCTAAGCATATTGATTTGCCAAGTAGGCCAAACTATTGAAGAGGCTGAGTATGTCAATTTTGTTGAAGGTGGGTGTTTAGAAAGGATACTCGGCGAAAGTAGAGGGGGTAAAGTTCTCGTGAAGGAATCATCAATGAGGACAATTTTCTTAGAGGAAGTCGCTAGGAAGGTTCTAAGAGGACTAGAGGAGACATTCAATGATGAGGTAGAGAAGGCATTTTATAAATGGGTTAACTGTTCGTCATATTTACACTTTTGATTGCGTGCAAGAAATTTAGTATTACACATAGAATCTGGTGACTTTCCAGAGGGCTTTCACTACATCCCCAAGCTCTGAAATCTTACTAAATTATCTCCTATGACAAAATCATATCAAGGTCATTGCCCCGAGCTTATCAACTAATATCAGAATAGATTAACTCTATACCATACCTTTCATAAGATTTAATTGTTTTCTAGTTGGCATTTATTATAACCCAAAGAAAGGCAAGCTCATCAACATACCTTCATGTGCAGGTCTTAATAGTCTCAACTGACTTCAGTTACAAAGGAATTGTGGTATATGTATTTTAATGCCCCTAAAAATAAAGTTCAGGTGTTAGATATGTAAATACAAAGGAATTGGGTGCTATGTATGTTAATTCCCCTAAAATAAAATAATACCTGGACCGAGAAGAATTCTAGTTCTTGTTGGTAAACAAGTTGGCCAACAAACATGCCGTTGCATAAACCTAATCTAACATATGACGATGTACCAAAAATATTCTTTGTTTTAAAAGTAAATTTTAATCTTATTCTGCCTGAATTTATTTTCAATTAATTTAAGTTGCAGTATCGTACTGCATTACCTCAACATTTCGATTATAAAAGTCTGTAACAGAATGGGATGATGACATGTGAAATGCAAAAATTATTAGTTTCAAAGCCCAGGTTGGAGCAGTTAATTGATTGTTTTGGTTTATTTATTTATTTTATTAATGTTTGGTGGGACTAGTCAGTAATGTTGAACGTATTTCATGTCTGATCAGGCTTCGTTTGGCCGCTTATATTTAGAAAATTTGTTTTGAAATTGATGATTTTGTTTTTAACCCATTTATTATAAGAATGAAATTGTCATATTTGAAGGAATTCGATGGTTTTGTGAAAGTTAAATATCATAATTTATAGTATATCAAATTATTAATAAATTTAATTTGGTTTTTTCAGCCAGTTTTTATTTATTTATTTCTTATATCAAATTATTAATAAATTTAATTTGGTTTTTTCTGCCAGTTTTTATTTTTATTTATTTCTTTCTTTATTTTTTAATAT